CCACTGCCCATAATATGGGCAGTGGCGGGATCTGGGAAATCGACGATTCATTGTGTCTGTGTCTCTTTCCTCCTGAACCTTAGCGGGACGCGAGGAGCGGAGCTGAGACACAACCTCTGGACGCCCGCAATGGGCATGCGCGAAAACAGCGGGCACGATGCCCCACAACAACGTTGTCCAAAACCGACGGCGGCCGCTGTGAGGCAGGCGGCTTCCTGTCCAACATGGGCCACGTCCGCGGCGACACCGTCAGCGAGTCCTTGTCAAGAGAAGCAATGACTGCTGTCGGACTTCGTTACCCACTCATTCCGTACCCAATTCGCCCGTACTGATAGGAAGCGGGCAAGCACACTCCGTGCGATCGCGGCCGCGCGCGCAGCGACGAGGCGGAGAAAGTCGGTCAGAAGGCGAACTGCGAGCGCGCGCAGCTGGCCCCTCAGAAGACGGGGCAGGGGTTTAGAAGGATCGACTGTGCCGTATGCCAGGCCATGCGTACCTCGGAAGCGGGCAAGCGCACACACTCCCTGGCGGCGCGCACAGGGGCATCGGGGGGAAGGGGGAAAGCTTCTTAGAGGGAGGCTGCTCCTTGGAAGGCGCCGGCCCTACATCTACAGAGATGGCTCGCGCCTTCTAAGGAGCAGGGGTGCTTCCGAGAAGCCTTCCCCCCTCCCACCTTCCCCCCCCCTCCGCGCGAGGCTGCACTCCACCACGCAGGCGCTCGGCAGGCCGGGGCGGCGGTGACTCGCCGTGGGCGCCTCCGACGGACGCCTGCGCGGCCCCCTGCTCCCCGGCCGCTGGGCCGGCGAGGCGGCCAGGGCCACAGCTGGCCCCGGCCACTCTGCGAGGAGGCCTCGGGCCCTCCTGGCGTCAGTGGGTCCAGGGGAGGGGCGGGGCAGGGGCGGCGCTGCACTCCTCCGCCTCCGCCTCCGCCTCCGCCTCCGCCTCCTCCTCCTCCTCCTCCTCCTCCTCCTCCTCGTGCTTTACTCCATCGCTGGGCTTTCGCCGTCCTTCGGTCTCGCAGAGTTCGGTGGCCTCGAGCTGGGAATCTTCGGCGTGCCGCTTCGGCTCAACTTCTAATGTACCGACCCGCGCGTTGGCCGCCGCGGTTGGTAACTTACGCCTGGGGGAACGGGAAGATATCCGATACTGCTACTCCCCGGACCTCTCCCCGGGTGCGTTCTGACCAGAATCTCGAGGCGAATGCAGCCATGGCGACGAGGGCTCTCCAGAACGAGCCACGGTATCGGTATCTTTTCCTCCTCTGAGTGCCGGGGCGGCGCACTGCAAAAATTGGCCGCGCCGCGGCCCCTGCGCCGCGCCGCAGCAGAGGCCACGGGCCAGGTTCCGGCGCCCCTGCGCCGTGCGGCGACGAGGCCGAGGCGCGCCTTGGGGGCGTTGAACATCGGGACGTTGACCTCTGCGAGCGGCGAGTCGACGTTGCGTATCTCCTCGGGGAGCTGGGGGGAGCTGTTAGGAGGCAGCTCCTGGATTGCCCTCGTAAGAACGATTATAAAGGCTGTCAGTTGAGCCTGATGAGCAGACCATAGGCGGGGGTTTCAGCCGAATTAGCCAGGATTGAGCCATATTCGGCGGCATTATGGCTGATTGGGCCAGTTCTCGGCCAAGGATGCACCAGCGCCGATGCTGAGTCTAACCTCCCGGAAGTCGCCTCTCAACAAAAAAAACATGCAACTGGGAATCGCAGTGACATCCAAAACACTCCAAAGGGCTCCCAAAAGTTTCCGAACCAAGCGTGGAGGAAGAGGAACACAAAACCGCAACAACTACACGACGGGAAACGGCTAACAACACATACGACATCGGAAGCCGCACATCTCCACTTCTAGGGGTCGGCGGAATGGCGTAGGTGTAACCCTCTTGGGTTCGCCCGCCCACCGTGCTGCGGGGCGTGTGAGATTTAGTGGGAAGCTTCAGCCCCCTCCTGTTCCCCCCCAAATGGGCTTCGCCATTCCGCGCTGCGCCACCTGACGGATCCGGGGTTCAAGACGGCGTCCAGAAGCGTCCAAGACGACCTCAAACTTTCATATCGTTCGCAATGAGCTTTGGGAGCGCTTTTTTTCTTCATTTCGACCCCTTCGGATCCTCTCGTTGAACCTCCAAATTCGGCTCTTAACTAGGCTCGGACCCCCCCGGAACGCCTCTCGGGCCCACTTCCGCCGAATTGCAAGCCGGAAGCTTCAAAGACATAGCACCCCCCCTGGTGGTTGACGGTGTCAACCTCCCCAGGGTCATCCAGAAACGCCTCTCGCCGACGTTCGGGCTCATATACGGTATTTCCCTAACAGGGCCTTGCCGTTTGGGGTCCGATGTCTTTGTGAAGACACCGGTGGGTTCTCGACCCAGTCGCGCTAGAGTTCCCCATGGGATCCTCCCCAAATCTTCTCCTTACAAGCTTCCCTATGTTTTCCTTGTGTTTCCCGGTGTTGTTTCCTTACTGTTTTTTGAAAGTCTGGGCACTCTCGGGTTCCCTGGGATCCCTGCTCTTGTGTCCTTTGTGTTTCTGTTGAAGAGGGGCTCCCTGGGTTACCAAGCACTGCCAACCAATGGCATGAAACGCCTGGCAGTGCAAAACAATGCCAAGCAACGCAAAGCAATGCAAAACGAAACAATGCCAAGCAATGCCAAGCAGTGTCTAGCCATGCAACGCAACGCAATGCAAATAGACACAACGCAAAGCAAAACTAAACAGCCGGAGGCAATGCCAAGCAATACCAAACACTGCCAAGCAAGGCGTAGCGATGACAACCAGTATGAAAAAATGCACAGCAATGCCAAACAATGCAAATCAACGCAAAACATTGACTTGCGATGTCAAGAAAGGAAGCACCGAGCAAGGCAGCGCCAAGCAACACCGAACGATACCGAGCAATGCCGAGCAATGCCAAACAGCGCAGCGCAATGCACATCAACTCTAAACAGGGCAATACCAAGCAAAACAATTCAATGCAATGCCAAACAATACTGCCTAAGAAACGTTCCCCTAAAAGCGGTCGCGCTGGGTGAATTTGTGCAAGTGATTGGTCGGCTCCGGTTCACCAAATTCCAATATAGTTTCTTTGACGCTTCTGAGACCTCTTCGAGTCTCAAAACAACGCCCACGCCAACCCCGACCTCGACCCAATTTCATCTGTGTCCGGGCGGGTGAACCAACAGGGGGATGCTGGCGATTCGGCCGTCCAGAGGCTCGCCTGGGCCGCCTCGGATTCTTCTCGGCTCTTTGTAAGCCTTTCCCGGGGCCCTCTTCAGCCATTGCTAGCGCCTTTGGGGCCGTCTTCTGGCTGCATGGGTGAAGTCTTAGATAGCGACCTGGATATTCCTGGCTTCCTGTACGGAGCAAGGATGCAGAGAGCCAGCGTCCATACCACTGGTCCGTTGGCAATGATGACAGGCATCGGTCAGCCACAAGGCATACCTGAGCCCACTCGGCGATGGGATGGAGAAGACATGGAGCGCAGGAACAACAACAGGGTGCGGGGGCGCCTTCCCTCGGAGCAGGGCAAGTTGAGACCATGGCAACTCAAACTCGGTCACCAGCCCTGTCCCGGGGTTCAACCTCACCAACGTTTCAAGCTGCGCCCAGCCGTGACGAGGGCCCACCCCCGAAAGCCAACTATCGTCGTCTCAAGCCGTCCTCCTCTGATCCCCCCATTTCTGGATCATATGTTCATCCCGCCTCGGAGCCTCTTTGCGCCTCTTCCGGCGAGAACTGGAACGGGCTGGCGGTGAACGCGAAGGAGCTCGACCAAAAACGACAAGTGAACGGCAAAGATAAATGATGGGGAACGTTCAATGGGGGGTCCGTCTCAGGGGGGAAATCGACCTGGAACCCGCGATACATCGCCGATCGATCGGTGAGGCACCCACTAGCGAATCCGCGGTCTCCGAGTCGGGGTGGGCTCTCGGGCCGCTATGGGCTATCACTTGAGCGATTGGGGGTCCATGAATGAATCACCCCCTGAGCCTACCCCACCCTGACATTGCCCCAGCGATCACCGACAATAACGTGGTCTCTCGCACGAGCGCACGGCCACCTCACGCGGCGATGACCCGCGAGGGCTGCCGGCGAGGCACACCGCGCGAACAAAGAGGGGGCCTGATGAGCGAACACACGCAGGAAGCCTGCGCGCAAATGTCCGCGCGGCTGGTCGGATTTTCGTGCTTCTCTCAACTGCATTGCTGGCGCAACCTGCATCGAGAAAACCACTCACAATAATCGCGAAGAAAAGAACAGGTCTTAAGGAACGCGGGTCCTAGGTTTTTCGCCGTAACTGGGCTCTCAGGGCCTGCGCGAGCCTCATGACGAAAGGCTGGCCCTGGCGGAAGGCCCCTGGGTCCGAGACGCATCTCCCTCAGGACCCGCTTCTCTCATGCCGATTCAACCAATACACCATCAATGACTACACAATCCAAGCGGTCCTGACAGTACTAGGCAACATGGAGAGAACCTTGACAAGGCAAGGCGACGTGAGCCGGGACGGTTGAGGCGGGAAATCTGGCAGATACGATGCTACGGCAAGACGGAGTATGCCAAGGCCCATGCGCAGGCGCGGGTACAGACAGTTCAAGTGAGTGGGGCAGGGCAAATCGAAGAACTGCGAGCCAATCTTTGTGGGGGTGCGGGGGGCACAACAGCGTAGCCCTTTAGAAGTCCGACGGGGCCCTGGCAGGAGTAGAAGGAGAGAAGGGAGTGAGGGGAACGGGGGAGATGAGGTGAGGAGGGGACGAGAAGGACAACTAACAACAAGTTTCAACACACACTACTTACGAAAGTCCCAAGGGAACGCCAGGATGCGGTTGAGAATGGGGGTCGGCTCATGCAAGATACAATTCACACATACATCTAACAACGACCCCCTGTGAAGTCTTTGGGACATCCCAGGAGGAGGGGGAAGGGCAGGAGGATGAGGCTGATGATGAGGGGCTGGCTCACGCAACATACAACAACAACCGCACAGCAGCGATCTGTTCCGCAGCGCAACGCCATCGGCCACACATGTGCGCTCACGCCGCACCATCCAAGCACACCTGGAGCGACGATGAGGCCAACCTGCAACAAGCGAGCCCGCACGCCGAACCTCTGCGCAAAGGAAACACGCAACCGTGGTGCCAAAGCCTCCGGGGCACGTGCCGGCGGAAGGGAGCAGAAGGGATGGCGCGGAGAGGAGTCCTACGGGAGAAGGGACGGGTGGCGGCCCATGCATCATACCCATGCGCCAAACAAGAGACACCGAAATGCGACAAAATATCCGCCGACCCCTTGTGGGACTCCATGCGTGTGAGATACTGCCAGATGTCCCCCCCCCCCCGCCCCCCCCAGGGGTCCCAAACTGCGCGCTGTTTGAGGGGGGGGGAGGTCCGACCGCCCCTCCCTCCCGGACCCGCGCGGGGTGGTTTTCGGCTCCCCGGACGGCCCTAGAGGCGCCCAAGACGGCCCAAGACACTCCCAAGTCGGCCCAAGAGAGGTGCAACAAGGTTCCAAGACAGCTCCAGAGCGTTTCAAACGATCTCGAGACCGAGACCTCCCATGACTGCTCCAAGAAGGCCCAAGACACTTTCAAGATGACTTCGGCCGCTCGAACTGCCTGACTTCCTCTTGAAACCATCCTCGCCCCCTCCTCGTCCTCCTGCCCCACCTCCTCCTGTCCCATCTGCACCTCCACCTCCACCTCCCCCCCTCCTCCTCCTCCTCCTCCCCCGTCCTCCTCATCCTCCCCCCCCCTCCCGAAGCTGAGAAGGAGCAGGAGGAAGGGCGACAACAACGACGATCACGACGACGATCACGACGACGAAGACGACGACTTGTGGCCCAGAGCGCGGCGCGCGGCGTCATTGGGATTGTGCGCGAAGTTGCACTTCGCGCCCATCGCGCAGAACCTGCCCGTCGCCGCTGCCCGCCATCCGCCATTGCCATCGTCGCCGTCGTCGTTCCAGACTGAGGAAGTAACTCCTGGGAAGTCTTCGTGAAAAAACTCGGGGCTATTACGCCCTATTGAGGGCCTACCAAGGAATTGAACTGGATTGTGCCTTTTCTTCTACCACGGATATACCAGCACCGATGCTGAATTAAACCTCCCAGGAGTTGCATCCAGACCTCCGACGTCGTATGGGCTGCTCTCTCTCTAGGCTCCTGTGGGCCAACCTCTTCGTCCCCGACCGTTCCCTGATGGCCATGGGGGACAGCAACGGCGACAGATGGTCGAAAACGCCAGGAGTGAACCATCAAGGAGTCGGAGGTAAGCGGTCGTCGTCGACGCCATCGTCGTCGTCGTCGGCTCAACTGGCCCGTCCTCGCGCTTTCTGGCGTGTGCACCTGGAGGAGGGAGGAGGAAGGGGAATAGAGGAGGGATTGCTTTGGACTGTTCTGCTACCTCACCGCCCCGCTGGTAGCCCTCGGCCACTGCTCTGAAGTGCTGCTCGAAAGCGCCGCCGCTGCTGGTTCCCGCAGAAGGACACGCGCGAGCACCAGTGGCGTCGGCTGCTCGTGTCTGGCGTCGCAGGCACCGCCCTGCACCTTTTCACGAGCGGCGAACATATCCGTATCCGCGCCCTGGCGGTCTGGAGTCTGGGGCGCGATCCCGCGGATATGCAATCGCACAAATACGCTCCGCGCGGGGCATCCGCGAAAAAGCGACCCGTATCTGCGGGGTCGCGGCCCACGGGCCCACGGGCCCGTCCCGCGAGGTCGCGGATTCGCCAACGATGTTCGACGGCGCCAGCACGCGTGCCCTGCGGAAGCCGTCCACCTCCACCTGGCATGTACCCAAACCTCTGACGATGCGATCTGGTCACTCTGGGCGTCTTCCTCTTCATTTCGACACCCGGGGCCCGAGAACCAGCAACCAACGGATCCGGGGCGCAGAAGTGCCCCCTTGGAAGGGGTCTGGAGCTCTAGGGGCGCGGATCGACAAAATCATATTGGCGGATGTCTGGGACGGCGTCTGCTCGCCAGGTTACTTCTCCCTTCCCCTCTTGCTCCTTGGCTGGCGCTGACCACGCAGGACCATACCACGGCATAAACATAACTTCTCTCAGGTCTGCGCGGATTTCGTGAACTCCGCGCTGGGTCCCCGTTCCTGGCGCGCGGAGCGCACCAGGGTCGGCGCCAGAGGCGCCGCCAGGTGGCCCAGCGCCGATCCAAGAAACCCGCGCGGAGCTCCGCAACTTGATGTTTATTCCGCTGGTTGTTCCTCTGACGAGGGCCCCATCCCTCAGGGCCCCCTATCTCTGAGCCGCCGAGGCGAGCGTGGCGGTGGCCGCGGCGGACCTCCGAGACATGCTGTTCATGCCGTTTTTGATATTCGAGGTCAGGAGGGGCAACGTTCGGGGGGGACCCGCACAAGGGGGGTCGACCTGGACTCGTCGCGCCGATGAATCGGCGATAGGCCTCCGATGGCGCATCCGCACGGTCCTGGGCGGGATGGGCTCTCGGGCCCCTCTCGGCGATGCCTGGGCGATGCCCCCCCCCCCCCGGAGCCCGGGCCCCCGGGGGGAGCCCGGGCAGGCTCGGGGCCTGCGGCTGCGTCCGCCCGCCCCCGTGACGGGTGGCCCGTGGGTCGCGCCGTGCCTCCGTGGCGCCGCCCCGCCCCCGCCGGCCCCGGAGGCGCGGCTGGCCACGGCTCCCTCCCTCCGTGGGGCAACGGCCATGCAGGCGGGGCGGACTGCACAGGGCACACGGCGGGACTCGGGACGTGTGCGGCGGCGACGTGGCCTGCCAAAAGTTATGGGGCACAGGGATGCCCCTGCCCCACGAAGGCAGAGGACGCGATGCGCGGTGTACAAGACAGAAAACGTACCCTTGGTCTGGCAAGCCCGACCTACTGATCAGCACCGCCTGTATGCGAGCCATCACGTTACCATTAGCCAAACCATATGGGGTGGGTTGAATAAGGAGCGAAGGGGCTCTTTTGGCCACGGCGAGCCTCGGCCACGAGTGAGTTCCCTGACCTACGCGATTTCCAGAAACAGCCACACGACCAGAGCCCAACCGGTCCGTATTTCAGTATCTCGATTGCAAAACAAAAAGCATAAACATGAACTGCCAAAGCTCGGCGCAGACTTCTTGGACCAGTAGGGCGGGGCAGCGCCGATCCAAGAGAAATTCGCGGAGCTCCGAACACTTGTATGCAATACTCTATCTTCGAATCAAGACCTTCGCCAACGCATGTCGAGGCCCCCCAAACTGGGTCCGAACCGATCGGGTCAGAGGATCGCCGCTGCATCGACGAGGCATTGGCAACGTTGGCGGGGTATCGGCGACGCTGGCGTAGAGAAAGTCGGGCTCTACATAGAGCTGCATTCCCCGATGCGTCGGCGATTGTGGCGTGATGCACCGACCCCTTTTGCTCGGACCCCATCTGGAAGGGCTAGAATACCTTTTCAAGAGAACTCAGAATCGAACCGATAAGTCGGATCGGCGATCGAAATCAATTGGATCGGCAGAACTCGGCAGCCAAGCCGGAAGAATTCGAATCGGAGGAAATCCGCACGCTAACTAGAAAAAACCTCCATGGAGAAACCGAAATCCACCTCGGAAGCTGAAGCCGAATCGAATCGGAATCGGAATCCATCGAAATCGAATCGTATCGAGTCGGGGAACGAAACGAGCCCTACCTTGTCCACGCCGGGCGTGTACATGAAGCGCCGCTGACGGCACCACCATCACAGCATTTTGCTTTTCCGGTACTTCGCCTCCGGGTTCCTGTACCAGGCGTTCCTTTGCATGCACTTCGCCTTCGGCACCGCCTGATTCCGGGGCTTTGCCCTCTCTCGGCCTTGACGTGAGGCCCCTCCTTCTGCCTCCCCCCCTCTATCAATTAAAGCTGTGCGCGGCCCGCTTAGCTTCGACCGGAAGAGGCTCGCTCTCGAACCGCGGATCAAAAAAGTTCACGCCGGTCGCTTGCCACAGCGCGTGGGCTCCCGACAGCTGCGCTCCAGCCGAAAACGAGGAGGGTCTATTAGCTTGGCCGCTCGCTGCGGCGTGGCCTTCCTGTGAGCGGCGTCCTCTGCATTCGCATTCGCTCCTACTCCCTCCCTTCATCCTCCCTGCTGCCTCCTCCTCCTCCTCCTCCTCCTCCTCTTTCTCCCTCTTCGCTCCTCCCCCTTCCCCCTTTCCCCCTCCACACCCCCAGCGCGGCGGTGAGGGCGGAGCGACGGAGGAGGCGGAGGAGGTGGACGAGGAGGAGGAGGCCGATGAGCAGCAGGTAAGGGGAAGGATGGAGAAGGAGGGTAGCAAGGAAGAGGGGGGAGCAAAGACCCTGAGTTCCGACTTTGCAAGAGAAATCGCAGCACCACGAAGAATCACGACTGGAGCCTCAAACCTCATCTTTCTGCGGCACCTGTTGACTCCAATCGCTCTGTGATGGTCCCGGGCCCGATGCCAAGCGAAAACGCCAGGTGTGAACGAAAATACAGCGCCCGGATCTCAGAGGAGGAGGAAGCGGAGGGAGGGAGGGAGGGAGGCGGCCGCACGCAGCGGCGCACGGCGCTGGGCGAGGGCGCCCGTTGAGCGAGAAGCGGCACATCTTCGTCTTGTGGAAGGTGCTCGTCGCTCGCAGCTCCTCCGCCCGCCGCGGTCCGACTCAGGTGGGGGGGGGATGTGACCGACGAGAGGGGCTGGGCCCCCTCCCCGCGCGCTACGCGTTTTTTGGCGGCCAAAGCATGGGGTGGTGCCGCACAAGCGCGGGCGGACCCAGCAGCGGGCCCGGTCGAAGCCGGATCGAACGATGGCAGACAAGAAGGACAAGCGAGGCAAACAAGAAGAACGAACAAGCTGGGAGGGAGGCCCCGTCCTCCCAGCCTGTACTGGCTAAGCGGGCGGGCAGATCGAGAGCAGTCCACCTGTCGGGACCGCGAGGCGGAGAGCCAGCCTGAAACGTGTTTGCTGGCGTCGAGCTGGGAGGAGGAGGAGGAGGAGGAGGAGGAGGAGGAGGAGGAGGAGGAGGAGGAGGAGGAGGAGGAGGAGGAGGGAGGACTTGGGGGAGCACGTAACGTTCGGACCCAAAGTTTCAAAGAGCTACGAGACGAACCAAGGTGCTTGTGTCTACCCTGAGATCCAAGCGTTGCATTTGCTTCACTGGCCTTCTTCGCCTGCTTTGCGGCCCCAAGGCCATCACAAATCGATCCGTCTCCAATGCCACAGAGAGATGGGGTCTAGAGCTCCGGTCGTGAATTTTCACGGCGCTGCAACTCGTCGCAACGCCGGGACTCAGGGCAAGTGACATGACAAAAGCGACTTCCCAACCAAAGGGGGCCCCGCAGTCGGGGGCGCGTTGAAGACTTGAGGCGGCCCCTGGACTGGGCGGATGGGCGGGGAGGGGAAGAGGGAGGCCGCTCTGGGGAGCCAGGTTCTGCAGTTCGCGTGGGCTGAAGCCACACGAGACAAGTGATCGAAGCCTCGCATCGCCCGCGCGACTGAACTAGAAGAGGAATAATAAGAATGAGAAGAAGAAGAAGACGAAGAAGAAGAAAAAGAGAAACGCCATATACATAAACTTATGGGACTCCGCGCGGAGTTCTTAGATCAGCGCTGGACCCCTCTCCTTGGCGCGCGGAGCGCGCCAGTGGCGGCGCCGGAGGCGCCGCCTGAGGGCCCAGCGCAGATCCAAGAAACCCGCGCGGAACGCCGAAAGTTTATATGTATGTCGTTTTCTTTCCTTCGATCGACTGAGCGGGCTTACCTGGCTCGGGGCGCAGACCGCGCGGAGCGTTCTTGAAGGAGCGAATGTGGTTGAACCCTGCTGGGGCCTCGGCACATTCTCTGGAGCCCCGGGCGCTGCCTGTCTGCAAGAATTTCGCGTCGCGTAGTTACCTAGCGCGTCAGCCTATCGACGACCGACCGCGGCAGACAGTCCGGCATGTGTTCTTATCTTATCGCTTCTTCAGTTGGGTTGGCATCAGCGTCGATTTCGTGGTATGCAGACTCATTGGCCTTCGGGGAGTCGGTTGCCAACATCCCCACCACCGCCAAGTCGCGATCAGCAACGATTTGGAAAAGCATCTTCGTAGAACGTAGAAATGCTGATGGTGGGTCTAAGTTTCGCGTGGATGACGATACGCCTTTTCCCCGCTCCATGTGTCCACCGCTCAGGCCTGGAAGGGAGGAAGGCGATAGTTGTTCTTTTGCACGTTCGTTGAAAGGCATTTCCGCTGATAGACGGGAGCGCGGCCTGAACGCACTTCGTCAGGCCATCTTGGCTAGGCAATGCTTTGCTAGTGCTTATGAACATGCCGCTCTCCCGCCAGATGCACGTCCGCCTCTTCCTCCAGTTGATACTTCTTGAAGTAGACAGGTCAGAGGCTGGCGCAAGAAGAACAAACCAGACCAGGTGGACTTATCACCGAAGGCGCGCAGCTGGATGACCCCAACAGGGGGGGGGGGGATCCCCCCCCCCCCCCTTTCCCCGATCCGTCGTCGGGGACCCCCCCCTCCCCCCCTTTCCCGATCCGTCGTCGGGGATGCCCCCCCCCTCCCCCCCTTTCCCGGTCCGTCGTCGGGAACCCCCCCCCCTTTCGTGGACTCAAAATATGGTGCTATTTAACGACTGGGGTTTCTTTAGTTTTTCCGTGCAACAAAGCAGACGTATGCGATCTGGTTGAGAAGAGAAATTGCTTTCACACACAACGACAACCAGTGCGAACATACGCGTTCAAGTTGCGAAGGATCAGCGATACCTACATCGCAGATGCTGGGCGCTCGCGAGTAATCTTTGCGTTGGCGGGCAGCAGGGCCTGGTCTACTGATTCGTTCGCCGTTACTGCATGTTTCATGCGGGGCACGAAATGAAAAGGTGCCTCTGCTAAAAGAAATTGGGAAAACTGGGCCAGCATATCATGCTCTGCAAAAGTATGCGACTTGTCACCATGGCATTTCGGTAAGAAGCCAATGAATAGTTTTGCCAACTTCGCGGCCGTGGCTATACACATAGCATGTCGTTGAGTTTGCCACATTACGTTTCTGTAAAAGGCCTTCAGCTGCTTGTGGAATGCTTCGCTGCGAGTCGTTCCAAATATCACATCATAATTTGCGTCGTTGGCGACGTACTTGCAAAAAGTTCTGAATGTACCCCAGCTCCCGCGCCGTCGTCGCGTGTTCGCGACGACGGCGCCGCCGTTTGCTCTCCGCTGTCCAAGAGCTCAGGCCTCCCACAGCGCCACCTCTGCCTCGAGGTAGCGGTTCCGCTCCTGGAGGCGCTGGCACTGCCTCTTGTTCTTGGTCACCTCCTAGAGGCAGGCCGTTTTCCACTGTCGCCATTGCTGACCAGGGGCAAGTGGTCAACGGTAGCGCTCTGCTGGGCGAGACGCGAGTCGCACCCAGCAGTCGCTACTGAGATCCGCCGCCCGTGGTCTGAAGTGGCACTGGTTAACAGTATGCCAATGGCCTCGCTGCGCACCCAGTTCTGGCGCAGGTCCTTCTTGGCCTTCGCCAGCGCCTTCTTCGCCGCGGCCGTCTTCGCGCCCGCTTCCTCGCGCCAGCGCTTCTCCTCGGGGGGAGACAGGCGCGTTTTTGTTTCCGTGATGCGTTGCCGTGCGTGAATTGGCGTAACGAGCGAGGGTTCTTTATGTCGGTCCTGCAAGTAGCCCAGCTTCAGCGTCTTGGTCCGTGCCCGAGCCGTTTTCGTCTCGCTCTTCCAAGTATTTGCCTCGTTCTTCGCTTCCTGGGCGTTCCTCATGTGCTTGTTGGAGCGCCTCCTATGGGCGCGCTACGAAAGAGAGACGTTACCCAGTGCCACGCAGAAGCAGCACGACTTGGAAACACAGTGCAACACTCGCGTGTTATGTTGCGTTCTCGAATCGCGCCGCTGCTGCGTGGCACCAATTGGATGTTGGGTTGTGGTGTGTTTTTTCACACATCATGGTCTTGAGGGCGTCTTCTTTCTTGTTGTGCTGCTCCGTTGCTTTGCGGACCGCCGCGCGGACCTTGTCCAAGGCTGCTTTGCGGAAGGTCGCCACCAGCGTTTTCACCCGTGGTGACTGTAGAAAAGCTTGAAGCCGTCGTTTGGCCTTGTAGGCTCGGTTTTTTGCCAGCTTTCTCTTGTGCTGCTCGGTGTCCTTGTCTGGAGTGCCCATGGCTTCAAGCAGTGGCGTTTTGGCGGGGCTGAGAGCCTAGAAGCTTTTGCCCGCTACATTCTCCCATCCTCTTCTCATATTCCTTCCTTTCTTCCTCCCTCATTGGAGCGCAGTGCGATTGCAATGCAATGAGATTGCAATGCAACGCGATTGCCATGCAATGGAATGCAATGCGGAAGGGAGGGAGGAGGATGAGTGAGAAGGAAGGATGAGGGAGAGTGGAAGGGGGGAGGGGGAACAGGCACTCGGGAGAGAGATGGGGAGACATTTCCCCAGGGCATTCGGACGTCGCTGTGTCTCCTCCTCCTCCGCCGCGTCCTTCTTTCTCACATCCTCCTCCTCCTCCTCCTCCTCCTCCTCCTCCTCCTCCTCCTCCTACTGATCCTCCTGCTCCAACTCCTGCTCCAAGTCCTGCTCCTCCTGGACACCGAAGGACGTTGAACTTACGATATATGTCAATGTCTCCCTGGAGTCTCCTTCGTGTACTTGTATTTTCTTGTTTTCCCCGGCCCTGAAAAATCTCCAAAAACCATCCGGCGGGATAGAGTTGACTGGGGCCATTCCAAACAGAGATGTCCTCACAGCAGTGATGTTTGAATGGATTCCAAACCAGAATGTCGTCAAAACAGTGTTGTATGTTCTTGATAAAGGGCATCCCAAAATGGAATGCCCCCAACGCTTCCCCGTTTGGAGCGCCCCAAACACGGGTGCAGTCAACAAGTGCGGTGTGTTGTTAACAAAGGGCATCCTAAAAAGTGATGCACTCAACGCAGCGATGATTGAGGACATCCCAAACAAGAGTACCTTCAAACAGTGCGGGGTGATGTTGATAAGGCATCCCAAAAAGGGATGCCCTCAACACAAGGATAACCTTCAGCAAGCTCCTCTTGGGTTCTTTTGGTTCCTCACCGATCCCCTTCATATCTCTATGGGTTTCCTGTTGGCTCCGTCTCGACGAATCCATTTTGTAACAATTTTTCGAATGATTTCCTTTCGTGGTGGATTACAATACGATTCACCGTTGTAGAGGATTACAAATGGATTCCCTTTGTAACGAATTACAGATTAATTCCCTTGTGGGGGATTTCCAAAGGGATTCCTTTGGTGGCGGAATACAAAGGGATTCCTTATGTGGCCGATTACAAATTGATTTCTTTTGTGACGAATTACAAATCAATTCCCTTTGTGGCGGATTACACAAGGATTCCTTTTGTGAGGGATTACAAATTGATTCCTTTTGTGGGGGATTACAAATTGATTCCTTTTGTGGCGGATTACACATTGATTTTCTTTGTGGAGGATTACACATCAATTCCCATTGTGGCGGATTACACAAGGATTCCTTTTGTGGGGGATTACAAATTGATTTCTTTTGTGGGGGATTGCAAATTGATTCCTTTTGTGTCGGATTACAAATTGATTTCCTTTGTTGAGGATTCCTATGAGGAAACCAGAGAGAAAAACAAAAAAAAAAACAAAAAAAAAAAAAAAT